CGCGGATCAATGGGTAAGCACGCCTCATGGTGCGAGAGCAAATGGAGGAATTTATTAAAGCATCATCGGCGTGATACCGGCGCCGTTCGTTCCCTGATTCTATCAGGTTATGCACAATATTAACTATGGCAATCAGAGACGTTGAAAGTTGAGACCAGCGGGTAATCAGATTCAGAATGCAGGCCGCATGATCGGACAAGTGTTGGATGATATCTAAAGCAGCAGCGACCTGATCGTTCGTACGAGCGACCAGATTCGCTACGTCCGATCCGTGTATATTCTCCATGGTGCGGAAAAACGGAATATTGCCTAGCTGCAGAATCCAACCCAGTGACACCAGGTAGGGTTTCGATAACGGGTCTGATATCTGGGCCTCTGCGTCATCCACAGCCTGGGTCAAGATGATGGTATCTAGGTCAATGACATGGACTGCCAAGTGAGCGAAATCGAGGAAGAACTCTTCTAGACAAGCCCATACCCCCCGCCCCTCATCCGGCAGGAGCTCCACGCTAAGAATCTGTTAGTACTTGGGATTTGCGGGGTTGATCGGCAAACTCGATAGAGTTTCTCCAAGGCCAAAACACGTAGAAGTCACTCACACTCTGCGCAACAAGCTATCCACAACGCTGGGTAGCTCCTCCCAGAAGTCCCGGTCCTCCGCCAAAACTTCATAAGTCAACTGATCTAGATTGTTTGCGACGTCATCGAACCAAGCTTTCACGGCAACAAATACCGGGGTATCATGTTGGGAGCCTATGGAATAACTGTCAGAATCGGCACGGCAAAAGCCAGCATAATGCCATCGAAGAAGCGCTTTACCTTTCTCAATCATCGTACATATCTCCTCCAAATTTTCCCGCAACTCATTTCCCATGAACAGTCTCGGGAACGTCTCCACCAGCGGCGGCTGGTCATGCAGCTGCACTACCTCTGGGGTTTCCGGTTCACGCATCGCCTCCCCCAACGACTTCCAACTGGAGGTATTGGGATCCTGATCCATATCTTCCAGGTCCGCCACCTCTATCTCCGGGCTCTGTGTGGGTGATGATGATAGCGATATGGCGGTGGAAGCGTCGAGGCCGATCCCGCCTGCTGCGGGCTGAGTGGGAGGATCACGGCTTGGATGCTCGACCGGGGAGTCACCAGGCTCGGACGCCATGTTGTCGGGCACAGGAGACTTCAGCTTTATGACCACTCGGCTGGCCGGGCGAGAGGAGGGAGAAGCGTCCTGGCCCGTTGTGGCAGGAGCATCCGGGATGTCGTTGGGGAATCGAGTAGCGGCGGTTTCGTCGGGAATGGACCTAGACTCACAGGTACCACTCCCACTGTCGAGACGAGGGCGTTTCCGGGTGGATTGAGGATCCGACTCTTCCATGGGATGACCGAGGGGACGCGTCGAATCAATCGAGGAGGTCGTTTCAGGCGGGGTGCTAGAGCTCTCTAGCGGGGCAGCTGCCATGACATTTTCTTAGCCCGGCCGATGGGGACGCGACAAGACTGTGAATGGAGAGGGGGGGAAAGATTGAATCTAATTTAGCTCTAGGGGCGATTGATAAGAAGGAAAATGACGGCAGACCGAGCGCCCGCACACAAGGAAGGGAGGTGAAATGTGTGGGAGAAGAGAAGCAAGTCGGGTTGCGGATAAGAACAATGCGGGAAAGGGAAATCCAGCTGAGGGGTGAGTGGGAAGAGGCAGCGATCGGAGAAGCGATAGCTGTTCAGACACTCAAGGAACTGAAGTAGAGAGAGTGTGTGAGGGCAGGTCGATGACCGACCAAAGCTGAATAAACAGCTACTAGCTGGAGAGGGATAGAGGGATGAGTGAACAACCGGTTCAAGTAAAATGCGACAGTGAAGAATTGAGATGGAAGATGAGCAGAGCAGCAGAAGAACAAACTAACTGAAAGGTCCAGCTCTGACGTTGCGGTGGAGCAACGGATTGGCGGGTGTTCCAGGGCGAATCGGGGATCGGCCTGGCAAGTGGTTGGATGGTTGAAATGATGGATAACGAACTTTTTTTTTCCTTTTCAATTATCTATCGATCTTTGATTCAATCGACCTATTTATCATTCTACTGGTTGGTTTTGCTTATAAGATATGAATTATCTTTTTCATCTACAATACGGGAGACTCCGTTCATCAATTACTAGTACTCCATGATACATCCCTTTTGATTTTCACCTGCAGCACTAGAAGATACTCACTAAACTTTGGTTGGTGGGGGGAAAAAGCCAGGATCGCATCTGCCTAGTATTAGGGAAACTATAGTTGCTACTGTTACCTGGAAGCTCCCTCAATCCGGTTCGCTGGAATAATTGATTGTGCTACCAATTCTCGTATGTATGCGTAGTAATGATTCCCTCTATTCTCACGCATGGAGTAAGAATGGACACGGTCTGGACTGCCAACAAAGCGAAGATCAGTCATCTTGAACCGAATACTGGACAAAAAAAAAGGGTTAATCAACACTCAAAAAATCCAAATTAAAACCCATCGGTGCCATTGGACCCAGATCAAATAAAGACAGACGTATGAGGAGCAGCCGCCCATCCCAATGCTCTCTCTCTTGGTTAAGAATTCCACCCAAAAGCCTGTGTTACCGTTGGCTGGTACTTCTGTCATCCGCGGAAAGACAATCACTACGTCAAAAGTATTCCTATCGGACATTTGTCTCATTTCCTGCATGCCTCAGTTTTTAGCCATGGCTTTCCCTAGCCATTTATTTGCCCATTGTCCCCACCAGCCAGCCCTAGGAGAAATTCTCCAAGTACGTAGGAGGGAATATTCGGGGGATCCGTAGAATGTACTGTATGTCATCTCAACTTACGGCCGAAGATAGTACTTGCGTAGTAGTTAGTCCAGAAGTACCCAACCGACGTACCTGTCTAGTTGGTAAGTAGTAGTGGCTTTTACCTGGCTGCCAGCTGTACTTAGGATAGGCAGGGGAAGCTGCAGGGGCACATCCTGATTGCATTCCTCCCCGCCGCTTAGGCGAGCCAACCTCCATCTGCCTCCATCTGCCCTACTCCAAACCCAGCTAGAGCCCCTCTCGTCCCCTGGAGCTTATTTGCCCCCATCTCCACTTGAAGCTTTCCAGCTCATTTCCTAGCGTGGGGTTATCTCCCATCATGCCCAGCAAACCACCCCGTTATTGCCAATTAGTGCGTTCCGACTCGCGCACCGTTGTCAAGTGTCATCCCCCATTCTGCTGGTTTCCAGGGTCTTTTTTTCCGTCCCCACTGCGCTGTCGATCATGGTGAATTAACCACCCCCCAACCCTGTGCGTCGGGGAACCAGAGAAGAATGCTTGTGTGACTTGTGCCGAGTCGGCATATTCCTTTTTATGATATATCTAATTATGTACAATCGTTGGGTAACCTCAGTGTTTAAACGCACAATTAACCACGACCGACACAACCTCCATCCAGATGACTCACTGCTAGAGCATCTAGCAACCAACATGATCAATTTACTCCTTCATCGAGGTTTCAATCTTGCGAATCACTCTCGCTGGGTTTCCCACGGCCAAATGAAACGCGGGAACATCCTAGCATGGCAACCATCCTTATCAGCAAAGACCATTTTTTGACCCTCACACAAGATCCCAGGAATGGTAAGCAGTCTCGAACGTACCTTGGTCACCACACTTCCAGCTCCAATAACCGCACCTTTTCCGATCGTCACTCCCGGCAACACAGTCACATTCCCTGCGAGCCAGCAATCCTCACCAATATGGATTTCTTTCCCGGACTCTGGACCTTCCGTTCCGTTACGCACGGCCGGATCAAGAGGGTGCGTGCCGCTATAAAGACTAACCTTGGGACCGAACAAGGTGCGCGCCCCAATGGTCACCAAGCAGGTGTCGATGATGACACAGTCAAAATTGATGAAGGCGCCTTCTCCCACTTTCACGTTGTACCCGTAGTCCATGCGAATGGGAGGCTCGATCCAAGGATGCTTCGCTAAGAGCTTGTCATCCTCGGCGGGATCCTGACTGGCAGGCGGGAGAGGGGTGGTATCACCCACAATGCTGTTCCTGTCAGCCCGGTTGTATCCGCCATGTCGTGGAAGACCGTTCCATCCGCGTGGAGCCTGCCGTGGTTGTATTCCGGCATGGGGACGTCAATCTGATTGTGTTCACTTACTCCTTCCACAACTCCAGGGACTGTCGACGGGACACGTCGCCCGCATTGTTGAAACGGCGACAGGCACTGGCGCAACGCGCTCGATCGGCTGTAAGATCGGAGACGAACGCATGATAGAGCTCGCCGCGGCGCATGCGTTCTCGATTCTCTTGCAGATCCATGGTTGTATTTTGAATGGGACAGCCGGAGAGTGATTCCTTTGTTGCGTTATCAAGGCGGGGTGAATCCGGAGTTTAGTCCGAGCACAGCTCTGCGGGCCGTCAAGTGGATGATGGATCTTAGTAGACTCCTACTATTCTGATTACGCTTGCCTATCATCGATGGGAATCTATTGTCATTGATATATGCAAAGCACTTGGTAACATGTACCATAAATACAATAGTTATGAATGCAAGCTGTCTGGAGATAACCCAAGTACTCTCCGCATCGCCAGCCATAATCGTCACTCTGCAAGAAGCACAACTCTCCAATACCCAGTATAACAAACAATCCCTCCAATCCAAATGACAATCTCTCCAAATTATCATCTTTCAACTCTCCCCATACGAACTTCATAAGACACATCAACTATCTCCTCTAGAATAAGTCAACTTTTCCTCGCGCGCAGCGACCCATCACATTACCACCAGTACAAAGTCCCCACAACCCACCAATCAGAAGCCCACCCGTCGGAGCTCCTCCGCATTGGATCGCAATTAATATTGTTCTCCAAAAAACTCCCGCGATTGTTCAACAACTCCATATAAACACCATCCCCAGCACCTTCTCCAGCATGACAATCCCTTGACCAACACCAGAAATCTCAACCTCCACTACACCTACCAACAACTACCACAACACCAACACCAACAACAATGTCCCACTCCCCTCCCTCCCCCTCCCCCTCTCCCTCCCCATCCCCATCACCACCATTCCGCCCATACCGACCACCACCACCCACCAACAATAACCACACAACAACAACAACAGACACCTCCATCCTCCCGCACGGCCCAAAATCCCTCTCCAGCATCTCCCTCCACGCCTACCTCCTCGGCATCCTCCTCGGCCTAACCAGCACGCTAACCCTCCTCCCCCTCCTCTACGGCGACCCCCTATACACCCCCCTCTGGCGCATCCCCTTCTTCCTCTCCTCGCTCTCCCTCTTCCACTTCCTCGAATACTACACCACAGCCGCATACAACACCCACTTCGCCACCGTCTCCGCCTACCTCCTCACCTCCAACGGCTGGACCTACCACATCGCCCACGGCTCCGCCATCCTCGAATGTCTCCTCACCCACACCTACTTCACCGCCCGTCCGGTGCCGCTATACCTGCCCCCCTCGCTCATAAGCTACCAAGTAGCCGTTGGCTTGTTCCTGATGGTCTTGGGCCAGACGATCCGCAGCGTGGCCATGGCGCAGGCTGGCAGTAACTTTAATCATACGGTGCAGGTTACCCGTCGCGAAGGGCATGTGCTGGTTACCGGGGGTGTGTATTCTGTGCTTAGACATCCGAGTTACTTTGGGTTCTTTTGGTGGGGGTTGGGGACTCAGTTGGTTCTTGGGAATGGGGTGTGCTTTTTGGCGTATGCGGTTGTTTTGTGGAGGTTTTTTAGTGGGAGGATTTGGAGTAAGTTCTTCTTTCTTTTACTTTCTTTCGTGTTGGGGTGCATGCTAATGGTTTTGTGATAGGGGAGGAGAAGTTCTTGGTTGCGTTCTTTGGGGAGGAGTATGAACGGTATAGGAAGAGGAGTTGGGTGGGGATTCCGGGGATTCATTGATTGATTGGTGGTGCTTTATATTGGTATCTTTGAGACTATACATAATCAATTGTTCTGGGTGGAGTTGGTAAAGAAGGGAGGGATTGTATGATTTGGATTTGTATTCTGGTACATAAGGAACAAAAAAGAAAAGTGGATTTCATCGCTAAATAGCAAAAGGTATCAATGCTCCATGAACGCCGTGGCTATCGTGACCCCATGCTGTGTAAAATCACATCCCTATATACAACCCCATAACAGAAGAAGGAAAAGCTAAAGCTTACTCTCCCTCGCCACCGCACCAAGAGCACCACTCATATACGCCCCCTGTCCCTGTCCTTGCCCCTCAGCCTCATCCTGCCTATGCTCCGCATCGGCCCCGAATTCATCCCCATACAGAACAAGCTCCCTGCCACCACGCGTACTCCACCATGTGACACAGAAATGCGCCCGTTCGACGTCCATCTCGCCGCTACTCAGCGCCTCCCAGAACCGTTCCACACATTGCTTATGCATGTCTGGTGTCTTGATGCTGTTGAGTAACTGCGCTGTGAGGGGAAGCCACTCCTCGAGGTCTTCAACGCGGAGGAAACAGAGACTGTCGATGAGCGCGAGAGTCAGCGCTGCTTGTTCCGACACGGGCGGGGATTTGCCGAGGTCGGGGCCGTCGAGTTGAGTTGATGATGGTTGGGGGAGGAGTTGGTCGGATGCGTGGAGTGCTCGGTCGTAGAGGACCTCGAGGAGGATTGATGGGAGGAGACGTTGGGTGTTGGCGATTGGGGAGGGCGGTGCTGTGACCTGGATGACGGTCTTGAAGGCTAAACGGAACTGTCGCGCGGAGAGGTTTTCGGGGAATACCTGTAATGGATTATTAGTTTGAGGAATATAGGGGTAATGTGAAGTTAGCTTACAGCAAATAGGTTGTCGATGTAGAATGGGAGATGCTTGGCTGCTACGGCGGCGTTGTTCGGGATAGCGAACACGGCTAGGACCGTGCTGTGGGCGGCTTCGAAAATCTCCAGGAGATGGTTATTTCCGCCGGCTGGGAGGTAGGGAACGGCTGCTGCAACGAGAAGCTCTTCGCTGCATGCAGGAGATAGTAAGGGAGTGAAGAGCTCCGACGTGTTGAGGAAGAACAGGTCCAGACACCGCTCAATAGGATGGTCGGGGATCTGGCCGAGCTCACTGGGTTTGATGCTTCTCAGGAAGTTCTCGGCCAGATCGGGGTAGTGTGATAGAATATCCACAGCTGTCAAGGTGACAAACATGTGTTGTGAAGATGCGTTCTGGCCCATGCGGGATGATATGAAGTAGAGATTCCGCAGTATATGAAGCACCTGCATGGATATGAACGGCGCACTGCGGTGGGCAGCCAGAACAGGGTCATTGATCACTCTACCCAAGACAGCGCGGAGAACAATGACAATTGAATACAAGCAGTTACGGAGCAGTCTCCAAAGTCCCGGGATGGTGGTCCTCAAGGACTCAGCGTCGAGGAACTCCGCTTCCTCGGACTTGTCGACCTCCGACAACTTGTTCAGACGCCACTGCACCATGAGTGTACGCACAAAGTCCGTGATATGATCCAAGGTTTGCGCGACCAGTCCAGAATCTTTGGCATTCTCTATTGCATGCGCCATGAGCCGGGAGAGCGGTCCCAGAGCAGATACGAGAGGACTAGATGAAATGGCCGTCACACGAGCAAACGTGTCAGACTGCGCCAGCCACTGGAATTGCTTGCCAGGAGCTTCCACTATGTCCTTATCCACGGTACCTAGGAAGTACCCTCCCTCCAGGCCTTCATGCGATGCATAGGTCGCATTGACCATGACGGGTAGCAAGACGTCGTAGTCAAGCCTGCTCCTTTCAGAGTCAGATAGCAGTTCAAAGGTGTAGTTGAGGACCATGGTGACACAACGACCGTCAACCTCATTCCGGGGATTCAGCTCCTCAAGCGCAAGCTGTGAAGCCGTGACAAGCGCCCTTTCCAGCTTCCGCCGAACGTGCCACGGCAACCCCTGTCTGTTCTGTCCCTCGAAACCCAGCAGTAGCCCCCCAATCAAGATTGTGTGTCTCCATCGCGGCGACTTGTCATCCGCTCCATTGATGACAGCTTTGACCCAGTCCTCGCGTTCGATCTTTCTGGCCTTTGTGTAGGGCGTCCTCGAATCGTCTGAAGCTTCGCTTTGTACTATCGCGATGGCGGCTGTGTTGAATATGCTGAGGATCTTGCGACACGTGAGAAGATCGACAGGACGGTCCCAAATGGCTGGAGTTGCTAGCAGCTGTGACGCGAGCAGAGTAATATTCAAAGGGTTTCCAAGGACGGTCAAAAGGCTGGTCGCCGTGGGAAGCAAACTAGCGAAGTCGGTCAGTTGCGTCCGCGCAGCCGAGGTGCGGAGAGGGGGAGGCTATCATACGTGAAGACATCCTGAAGGTCAGATGAGAATTGAAGCGATCTCAGAAGAGCACCTAAAGAGCGTTCAGTCGCCATGATGTCAAAGGGGCGTCAATGGTTCAACCAGTAAAGTGGACATTAGACACAACCCAAGTGAGACTGATGGAGAGGTATGGGGAGATAACGGAAAGCAGCTGCTTCCAGTTGCCGCGGAGAACCCCAGATCACCTGCCGAGGTTCGTCGCGCCGGGAGCAAACAGTGCAAACCACGAGCTCCTCCGTTCCGAGCGGATCTTATCAGCTTCGCGACCAACCCTTTCTGGCCTCCGTGGTATATGTCCGCATCAGTGGCTGTCGGCCGATTTACCAGGTCGTGCTCGTCTTATGACATTACATTGTCTCTTGTGGCAGGCCAGGTAGCCTTTTTGCAGTCCAATGGCCGACAATCGGGTTCCGATCAACTACCAAACGCCTCCTTTTCCGTCCCTCTATGAGCTCTTCCCGACCAAGAGTACTGGTGCATACTACCTCTACTATAACAAGGATATCTGGCGTTTTACTCTGTACTGGACCTTGATCTTCTATGGCGCAAGCCATCTGCTGGTCGCGGCCTGGGCTGTGGCCATGCAGTGCAGAAGCTGGAAAGCCTGTCTTGCGGTTCCCTTAGTATACATGGTCATAGGTGGATTGGAGGCGCTTTTAGCGGGGAGTATAATTGGCCTCGTGTGAGTCCTCTTAATGCTACGTTCTATACTACTCGCAGTGATCTGACTATTTGATAGTTTAGGTGCAGTTTATGAAGCGGGTAATTTCAGAATGTCGACCTGGATCCCCCTTTTGTGGGGTGGTATCAATGTGTTGGTCCTTATCCTATCTAGCTTCCCTATCCCAGGAGGACTATGACCGAAGACGAATCGGGATGCCTTCATGGCCACATCACATTCCCTCACATCCCCTTACCTGCTGTGTCGATAACAGGTACTCACGGACAGCGAGATCGTCTTATTATGGCCGAGAGCGCAGATCCTCGTCGAAACCGACTATAATACATACATAATGTTCGCTGAAAGTTCTTGAGGCCACGCCAGCAACCGAGCGACCTGGCATTACGCCATTTACACGGGCCAACCGAGTTTTTAAGCGCTAGATGCCGCAGCTGGAATCATCTTCCATATCCGTGATCGGGCGTACTGCTCCCTTGCAGGCCGGGAAGTCCCCCGGGCATGCCAGGAAAGTTTGGCGGCGGGAAGTTCTGGGGCAGCGATATTCCTTGAGAAAGAAGCTGCTTCTGCAGTTCCGCCAGGTCAACGTTCACCGGAGGTGTCCCCGACATAGCAGGGTGCATGGGAAACCCTGGCAATCCAGTCGTAGGAGGGAAATTGTTCGGCTGAGGGGGCGGTTGGCTCGACAAAAGAGCTGCTAAACGCCCAGGATCCATCTGTGGCATAGAATTGGAAAACCCCGGCTGGGGTGGGGGCTGGGGAGCCCCAATCCCTGGCAGTATCGAACCCATCCCGTCTGGCTGTGGTGCGGCGCCAGGTGGTGCGAATTGAATTCCAGGAAGAGACGACATACCGGCCGGCTTCTTTTGGTCGACCAAGCTCTCCGCCTCATCCTGAAGTTCTTGTTCTTCCTCTTCACGCATCTGCCGCCGTCCGAAGCCCCGGCTCCATGTACCCTGAGCTTCCGCCGCTTCTTCTCCGATATGGAACCTATCCTTCATGTAACTAGTCTCCCCGGGTCTGGCACGGGACCAGAACCGTGTGAAGTTATCTTTAGACCCGGATGCAAGAATGTGACCGAGAGGATGCCAATCGAGGGACCAGATGGTGGCACCATGCGCGTATTGTACCTTGTGGGCAGGGTATATAACCTGCGCCGGCGTGTTGGCCGGGTCGTTGCTGTCATATGGCGCAATTGTAGGGATTTGCCCGGAGGGCAAATTTGGTTCATCAAGTAAATAGTGATATAGAGAGCCATCCTCACTACCAGTAGATATGAGAGAGCTGTGGATTGGGTGCCATGTTAGAGAGGAGACGGGCTTCTCATGGCCTCGGAGGATACAAATATCTCGCATCATGCGCAAGTCGAAGACTCTCGCCGTTTGATCCCGAGATGATGTGGCAAGAAGGTTATTGTTTACGCGGGAGAACCTCGTCGCTGTGACGGTATTCTTGTGGCTATGAAGCGTTGTTAAGCATCTTGCTGTGCGCGGATCCCAGAACTTGACTTGGTGGTCTTTGGACCCAGACACGAGCAGACCTTTGGTGGGATGCCAGTCGCAGGATTTGACATCCCAATTGTGACCAGTAAGAACGGTATCGCAAGTTCTCGCAGTGAAATCGAAAATCTTCAGTGTTGTGTCGTCGGATGCGGAGAGGAATTTAGTATCACTGGGTGACCAAGCTAAATCGCGAACAGCATCATGATGTGCGTCATCGATCGTCTCAACGTTGTTAAAGTTAGGTCGCCAATACTTCACGTCACCCTTCTGTCCTCCGGATATCAACCAGTCGTGACTGTGAGACCAAGCTAAGGAGGTGACTCCAGCTTGCAGCTGGTCGTAATGTGCCTATTCAAACATCAGCAAAGAATCCTCGACCAGCAGGTAATCGCAACCAAGCAACACGCACATCCATGACTGTTTCGAAGTTGAAGGCAGTTCCATTCCAGAGCATGAATTCGCCCGTATGGCCTCCCGTCAGCAGGCGCCTTCCCTCCGGTGTCCATCGTACGACAGTGATCGGTTTCTTCGATTTTCCGATTGACTGATGTAAATGCCGCACTGGGATAGTGTCCGCTGGAGAATGGACTCGGCCAAGAGGTGGGAGCATCTAACAAAGAAAATTCCGCTCGTGTCAGTCGAGGAGTTGTATCAGAATGTGCGCGGACGTCTGTCGCACTTACATCCACAACATAGCTTGCACTAGGCCTTTCTACCTCAATCTGATGACCACCCTTATAACGAGGTTTCCGTGTGCGTATCCATTGTACCATCGATGATCCATAGTCCGTCACGAGTCCTACAATTGACGGTTAACTTCGCCAAACGAAAAACGAAGGTAGAGGGGTAAACAAATGTGAACGCATCGGGACAAAGGATCGTATAACACGTACTCGGTCGTCGCGGCCCAGCAATTCCCCCTTCGTAGGATTTCGGAGGCCTCCCAAATGGCTGGGCATCATTCCCAGGGTCGTCGTAAAAAGCCATTGCGCCAAAGCGCACTGCCGAACGCAGGTAGTAGGTTTACAAGGAAGAAAGAAAGGATGACGGAGGAAGCGGAGAGACAGTCGCTAGCATGACAGTGACAGGGGAGGCAAACGGGAGGAAGCAATGACAGCTAGCCGATGCTCAACCTGGTGGTAAGATCCCCAGCTAGAGCCAATCGACCATGTCGTGCATGCAGCAGGAGCAGGAGCAGCGCTTGGTTTGATTGTCGCTTTGGTGATGGCGTTGGGTGTCGGAGCGTCGAATGAAGAGCAACCGCCCTTGGCTGCGCGACCGTCATTGGCCGCGACAAAGCCAGCCGCTGCGCTGCCATGAATTTTAGGCCCGCAACGGCCTGGATCGGCCTGAGGCCAGGCCGTTGCGACGCCGCAATTATGCGTTCTTCCCCTGCAACCCCCGCTGCTGTTCCCTGTGGCCATTATTAGTATTTAAAAACTACCTTATCCCTCCTTTTCCCCCTCTCCCCTCTAAAACTTATCCAGTTTTCTGTCATGTCCATCGTGGACAGCGCACCCTGGTGGGATTCTGTGTCCTGCGTTCTAAGCTATTTCCCGCAATTGGTTTGAACCGAGGCCAGACAAGCTGCTAAACTACAAATCTCCCTATACTTCGGGCTTGTGATACCACTCCACTGTCAAAAGTGGCTCGTTTCCCACAACAAAATCAACATGTCTCCTACACAAGAGGCCTCACAGAGCCCTAGTACTGCTGTCAGTACTGGGACTGACATACACACATCCCCGCAAAAGCCCATGAACGGGAAAGCTTCCAACGGTCATCCTCCCCAAGGGACGAATGGCGCCACCAAGACCAACTGGAGAAGGAGAAGCAAATATCGTCATGTGGAAGCTTATCATTCGAAAATTCGGCATTCCAGTCTCAGTCGCGAACCCAACGTCACGGCGAGTTTCCTGGGCTTCCGAAATCTTATGGTCATAGTGTTGGGTTGGTTTGCCCATCCTCCTTACCCGTGTGTCCGCTTCTGGCTAATGCTTTGTTTCCGGATCTAGTCGCAATGAACCTCCGACTCATCATTGAGAACTTTATGAAAGTAAGCCATAACTGCGGATCAACATTCATTCATGCAAGCCCCTAACTGACCTCTTCGGATAGTATGGTGTCTTAATCTGCATCAGATGCCACGATTATCGGAGGCAGGATGTTGTGCTCGGCTCCGCTCTCTTTGCGCTCGTCCCATTCCACCTCTACGTCTCCTATCTCATAGAGCTGGCTGCGGCAAGACAGGCTAAGAATATTGTTGGCCAGAAGAAGAAGGATGGATCGACCGAGGCAAACGAGAGCGAACAGCGCATCTTCAAAAACACATGGTGGATCTCCGCCTTCTTCCACTGCGTGAACACCCTTCTGAGTTTGGGAATTACGAGCTTTGTCGTGTATTTCTATGTTCATCACCCAGGTATTGGCACCCTTTGTGAGCTTCAAGCTCTTATTGTGTCGTTCAAGATTTGTTCGTATGCCTTCACCAATCGCGACCTCCGCGAGGCCATGCTTAATCCTTCTGTCGAATCCGCCCTCCCAGAAATATATTCGGCTTGCCCATACCCCAACAATATCACCCTGGGGAACCTGGTCTACTTTTGGTTGGCGCCTACGCTAGTTTATCAGCCAGTATACCCCAGGTCGTCACACATCCGGTGGTCGTTCGTGGCCAAGCGCCTGTCTGAATTCTTCTGCCTAGCCGTATTCATCTGGCTTCTATCTGCTCAGTATGCGGCTCCCGTCTTGCGCAATTCGATCGACAAGATTGCCGTCATGGACATCGCATCTATACTGGAGCGCGTGATGAAACTGTCCACGATCTCTCTTATCATCTGGCTGGCTGGGTTCTTTGCGCTCTTCCAGTCAC